TTTTTTTTTCTTGTAGTTGTTTTCCACATGTGTAACGTCTTATTTCAGTACAAAGGGGAAGTGTCAGGTTTGTCCTAGGGACATGTTGATGGTGAGGCATCTTTTTTAAAGGCAATTTTGGCAGGTGACATAGCGCTCAACTGATATAATCTGTAAAACCACAGTGCTTATCTGACATTAAATTTGGAAACCACAATTTAGAAAAAATGTTCAAGAGCCAGGAGGCTATTATTGTGAAATATGTACATTAAGTCATATTAAGTAAGCTACCAGTTTTGGCTTCATGGAATGTAAGACTATGGCAAATTAACAAATTATGTCCAAAATTACTGCCATAAAACTATGAAGTGATTTTAATTTGCGACCTAAAGATGGTATGTCAAGATTCAGTTTGTCCATCTTAAAACAGTATGTTTGTTTTCCCATAAAGCAATTTAAAGAACAGAACAGAAGCACAGACAATTGGACCGCTTCACAATTACAAAACCGATTATTCCCCTACCCAAAGAGCATTGGAATGTAGTTCTAGAAACACAGCACCTTAATATTAAACAAAGAAAAATGACACATATGAAATTCAGTCATGAATGCATACGTATTACTGCTACACAGCATAACAGGTAATGGAAACAAACTGTTTCTCAGATATATTGTGGGGAAGGGAATCATTCCGAGATAAAACATATGACCTGCATGCAAAAGGTTCCAGGTTCAATCGTAAGCATTTTCAGGCAGGGCTGCAAAACATCTGCCTGAAATGCTGGAGAACCAATAGCCTTCAAGTGACAGATGGATTAACTGTCTGACTAAGAAGAAACCAGCCTCTTGTATTACTGACAATAATACTGGAATAATAATGGTAAATCATGCAGAATACATCAAGCTAGCAGACAAGAAGCCAGGACGATCAAGAAATAACATGCAGCCAGGCGTGCTGTCCACCCATCTCTTACCCTCTTTTCCATCTAAAGGTTTTGAGACTTCCATGTCAAAGTTCTCCTGCATCTGGTGCCCTTTGAAACAGCTGAGATGTTCCTGTTCTATCAGATTACTTTCTTCTTCCTCCAGGGGCTGCCACGTCCCATCAATAAACCACTGCCCTCGCATCACAGGGATTTTTTCTGATTCTAAAAATGGTAAGGAAACACAGATAGTTTAGCATCCAGGACAACTACAAATAAATTTTTAAAAAATGAAGATACACAGTATTACTGCGAACAATGCTACCCCAAACTTATCTATAGCACAGAAGAACTGCAGGAGATTCTACTGACAGCTTCTTACAGCGATAGCCAGTTTTTTTAAAACTTAGAAAGAGTATTTGAACACAAATAAAATGGAAGCCAATTTGTTAATGGCAAACACACTCTTTGCATCAAGGAAGAAAGCTGTACAGTATTTGTTGCAGCAACAGAAGTGAGGCCAAGCAAGAACAAGATGACCCTGTCAGATATCAGAGTTTGAGATTAAAGGCAACATCTGTGAATAGGAGTGACCTGCAATAGTCATAAGTAGCATAGTATTCTACTTGTCCGCTGAACAAAGTGGTCTATTTTCCAAGGAGCTATACATACATTTGGGCTGAAAGGAAGAGGCAAACTTTGCTTTCACTATCCAAACCACCTTTTATTTACAGATACTCTTCTTGTGTACAAAGCTCACATTTTTCAGCTTTGATTTCTCTGAATCCAAAAATTAAACACAATTTTTATGACTAAACTTAGATTCCAGTTTAAGCTACAATTGCAAAGTAGAAACAGTAGTTTTCAGAGAAGCTGTTCCAGCCACAAAAGAAAAATAAAACAAAAACAATGATACCATGGCCTCTATAAGACTAATAAATTACCTAATTGAAATAATGTCATGCATTTCTGATGAAGCAGACTGTAATCTGTTGAATATTACACTGGAATAAATTTGTTAATCACAGAGAAACAGATCACCAAAACGACTTATTCTGCAAGCAAGAATTATACTCCTCAGTTGCTAAAGATTTTAGCTTTCCCTATACAGACCACAGAACTCAACAGAGCTACTAAAACCCGCTGAGCCACGAAGTCAGGTCATTCGGACTTTAGCCAAAGATAGTTTTTAAGGTTACTCAGGTGAGTAGCCTTAAAAACACTTGTCAACAGTTGGCAAGGTAATGCACTGCTGGCCTCTAGCCAACCCAGTGAACTGGAAGAAATCCAGTTTATACATTACAGTAAAGATGAAAACAAACACTGCTGGACCTCCCACAATATCATCAGTTACCTCGGGACTGTGTGAGTGCTCCAAAACTGGAGGCATTCAAGAAAAACTTAGATAATCACCTGCAGATATGCTTCCATCGTATTCCTGCCTTGATCAGAGGTTGGACTTGATGGCCTTGTAGGCCCCTTCCAACTTCACTTTTCTATGATTCTAAGATTCCCAAGCTTTCAAAATACACAATAAGCCTACAATTCTGTGTGATTATTTAATCACGTGTAACATTACTGAAGCAAGGGGGTTCACATCCAGCGTTCTAGCAAAGTCTGCTTTCTCAGAATTCTACTGACCGATTCTTTCTAGACAACTTTGGTGACCTGTAAAAATTCTAAATTCTAGATATTCCACTGAATAGCTTTCACCAAGCTAAATTTAATTTTATCTTTATCTCGTACTAAGATAAGGATTCAGAACACTGGGACACAAGAAAAGGTGGCTAAAATTTTAATTATCCCACTTTAATCTAGATTTCCCATGAACAGAAGCAAAAAATCAAACTTTCAGGTTGCCCTTGCTGAACCAGGAAAAGGAGAAATCTTTTGCTGATTCCTGTTCCTCCAACAATATGACTACACAACTTATAGGGCAAGAAATCACTGGACGTTTATTAAAGGAGGCCACAAAAACTTTGTATGGAATTACTGATTTGTGGAAACTCTTAGTCAAGACATGCACATTTCAGCAATGTTATGATGAGCAACCTGAAACAGACAGAAAGAAAATCTGCAAAGTCTATGATACAACACAGATTCAGCATTGCTACGTGCCATTGTCATGCAAACCACAACACCTTTCGTTTCACCAGAGTTCCAGGGGGCAGAATACTTGATGGCAATCCCTAAAATCAGAGTCCAGTTTATTTCAGTGCCAGTAATTTCAACTGCGCTAAAATAAACTGAGGCCATACAGAGAACAGCATACAACAGTGGTAGGCAAGGCCATAAAGCAGGGTCCCTGGAAAGTGAGGCTGCAGGAAGCAACACAACAGTGTACCAGTCAGATAAGAAAAGCAGCAGAGGAGATGCACCGAGCAGTCGAGAATGACCTGTCTAGAAAATAGGACTCAGTGGGAGGAAGGCAAGTATTCTACAAAAGAATCAAGAAGATACTCACATGAAATGTTAAGTACGGCAACGGAATCAATTACCTCAAGAGGTGGTGGATGCCTCCAGCACTGGAGGAAATCAAGAGAAATTTAGACAACCACCTGGCAGATATCCTTAGATTTGCAATCCTGCATTGAGATTGAGAGGGGGGGTGGACTCTATGTCCTTGTAGGCCCCTTCCAACTTCATGATTCCATGATTCTAAGTATTACAGGGTTAAGGACCAACTGTGATGTTAGGCTCCAATACTCTGGCCATCTCATGAGAAGAGAAGACTCCCTGGAAAAGATCCTGATGTTGGGAAAGTGTGAAGGCAAGAGGAGAAGGGGATGACAGAGGATGAGATGGACAGATAGGGTCATTGAAGCGACCAACATGAATTTGACCAAACTCCAGGAGGCAGTGGAAGACAGGAGGGCCTGGCGTGCTCTAGTCCATGGGGTCACGAAGTGTTGGACAAGACTAAACGACTAAACAACAACAAGTGATGTTAGAACTGCAAACTGATATAGCCACCCGAGCCAAGCAGGTCACTACTACTTTAATACTGCTTGGACGCTTCCCCGTTAAAACCCATAATCTTCTCAAGATCACATGCTTGCTTCCTCTCTCTGTACAATGCTGTTTGTTTTTGGGGCAGGTATCTGGGAACGTCTCCTTCCAGCCTCAGAAATCCCTTTAGTGAACAGAATATGCTGCTACTTTAAACATCTGCCACTCAGATTTAACGAGAAGGCAAAACAGCTGCCAAAATGGAAGCAACGCGGAAGGCTGCCTTTCCCCCATCCCGCTGGCTCCTCAGACAGCCAACCTTCTCCCTTACTTTGTATTCTCTTCATAGAGAAGGAGAAAGTTAAGCCATTCATCTTCCTATTCTTTTTCTCAGGGATCCATCACGTCCAAACATTCAGGCCGGCCAGCCGACCACCCAGCTGCCAACATACTTCACAAAGACACAGCTTTTCCTCTGCCCAGTTCCAAAGGATAAATTGAGAGAGAGGCAAAGGCACTGACTGCCGGGCCCGCACGTGCTCTGCCTCAACAACTCAGCGGCAGGGACACCTGCATTGAGAATCTGCAGAACTGCTAATCAGCTCATTTTTTGCTTCATTACTTCTGTTTCCAAGATTCATGTTTTCAAAGTGGGACCGTAAAGAAGGACGAGGGACGGTATGGCAAATGAGCCATAATAAATTCTAATATCTTGCTATGTTGTCATAGATTCATACTGGCAGACTAGAAACATAGAGATTATGCTGTTAAAGAATTCATATGAAAAAAATGAATGCATGCTCACTGATATAATACTGTTATCTACAATACAAAAATTAGCATTAGTTACAGATAGTTACGGTAGTCCTGGGCCTATTGTTTATGTAATTTTATTTCTGATTTTAATACATAGCTCCTGAAGGAGGCTTCTTGCTGAAATGTGTTGACCACTTTTAAAACAGAATAATGACTATTTATCTTCTAATCTACATTCAGTCTCTCATTCTGATTTCTCTCCTCAGGGAGAACAATAGAAGTAGGACTAAAGAGCTGAGCAACACATAAGCATTGTTCCTGCTCTAGAGCTTTCAAATGGCTTCTGAGATGCAGACACCCTTTTTGACATGTCCTCAAACTCATGTTTGTGCTGATTAGGCTTAGAAATCAGATGCAAAATTCTGCACTAGATAATATTTCATGTGCAGCCTGGAATGATCTCAGAGAATCAAAAAAAGCTTTTCTGTTGCAAGAAACACATACATGTAAAATTATCCTGCACGGCAACTGTTCAACATGGAAGAAAAATCTACACACAAACATGCTGGCAGTAGAATTATATGGAAAGACATGCAAAGAAGTCTGTGGTAAGTTGGCAAGAATGTGTGGGGATTCTTTGGAGGAATAGAAGACAGCTCCACTGCCCTCACCTATATCCCCTCCTATCTGATGTAGCAAATTCAAACTCACACCACCGCTGTACACAATTATGCAGTGGTCGAAGGAATGAACATGTATGGCGGCTCATGCCATGCAGCATGGAAGACATCTGTATATGCATCAAAATCTAGTGTGTGAAGCAGGGATATGGCAAAAGTAACAAAGGAAAACAGAAAGAAGAAAGGAATCCTCCTTCATTCTGTATGGATTGTTCTACACGATGATCAGCCAAGAAGTGCTGCCTAAATTGCCAGTCTTTACACCACCGCTGCCTACATGAAATACACACCTTTCCACTTGTCAGGATGAAAGATAGTGCCAATTTTCCACCTGCAGAATGTAAGCATCCTAGAGACTAAGAATGTTCATGCCCCCATCTTATACTCAATTTCTGAACTTGCAAACCGTAAGTAACTTCCTCTAAGCAGCATGGAGAATGCGTGCTCCTGGGCTCAAAGAGTAGTCGTGCAAAGTTTGACACTTAGCCGTCACACACTGCTTTCAAAGAAAATTGCAGGAAAGAAGAACAAGCAGCCTACAACCCATTCTAAATTAGAAGATAAGGGTTATGAGTTATGAGAATGTGATGTTGTTTTTAATTCATTAGGACTGCAACAGGAAAATAAATCAGAGTCTGGATTACATTATTAAGTGGTAAGAGCATGTTGCCATAGTCTCTCGAGACTGAAGGATGCCTACTAAGAGAACAGATGTGTGTTTTAGAATGGAAAGTTTATCACTTTTATCATCCTTTTTGCAAAAATAGCATGTGTGCACATGTGAGAGATAGAAAGAGGGGGTTAGGGAGAGAGAGAGAGAAATTTATTCATTTTATTTATTTACTGCATTTATATGCCGCCCATCTAGACATAGTTGACTCTGTAGAAAGAATGTTAAGAAAGAATGTTAAGAATAAACCTATTTATTTTAGTATTAGGTTTATTTAAATTAGTGATTTTAATGTGCTGTGAACTGCCAAGGCAATGTGTGTACTGTGGTTGGCATGTCAGCTGAATTAAATAAATAACTGAATAAATGCATAAATAAATAAGATTTCCTTCCTGCCAGGATGAGGGTTCAAAAGGAACTAAATGAAAGGAAAACAGCATTTAACATGCAAGTGGAGAATATCTGGAAGTCTAGTCTACATTTGTGGAGTTTCAAGTGCATTTATGTTCAAACCATAGTAAACTGATGTCACTTTAACTGTCAAGGCTCCCTTCTATGATTCCCAGAATTTGTAGTTTGTTGAGCTACTTAGAATTCTCTGCTAGACCTTCACTTGAACATGCTGGCAGTGGAATTATATGGATAGAGGAGAGAAAAAGCTCATGAGAATTTTAACAACCTCATCAAACTACTCATCCCAGAATTCCACAAGATAGAAGCATGACAGTTAAAAAGCAGTGTCATAGTGGATCACTCTGTCATGTGAACACATCCAGTATGATAGCTCCTTTAGATCTATGAGGAAACAAGAAAACTGTTATTAATCACCTTTCCTGCTTCCTCCACCCTTTTATTGTTCCTGCGCTGGCCTCTTTTCTCAGCCCATGTTTTGTGTACTTAATTTGTTTTTGTCTGTCTCTAGGCATAACTTACTAACGACAATCACACTTGTCACCACATACGTACCTGGTTAGTGCTGAGGACGTGAGTAGGAACATGTGGGTGAATTTGAGATAATGGTTATTTCCATGCGTTATTTATTTATGCGTTAAAAGTAATAAAAAAACTTTCAACAGGAGAAAAAGTACTTAATGACAAGTGTTTGGGGAAAGTGGCACACAAAACACGAGATGGGTCAACTTGAAATCAGGTGCACCCCTGCCATATTTATAAGCCTGTCTGTGAAGAGGGGCGGCATTTATACATGCCCTAAAGCTTTCCATTACTTTTTAAGCAGCATGCAACAAAAGGCAACGGTGCTTTTGAAGCCAAGCCGAAGGGCTTGTCCTGCTGTCAATCACCCTTTGGGAAGGAAGCCACTTTTATTTCACACATCCTGAAGCCCTGTGTTTTCCATTTCTCAAGAGTGACCTTTATATATTTGCATACTTATTGTTCTTATCTTTAGCACTGCCTTTTAAAATGATGCAGGAGGACGCCTCTCCATCCTCATGGTTCTTAGCTTTCAATAGTATTGCCTTTTCACGTT